CTCCTTTACCGATTAAAATCGCAAACATGTGAGTTACAACAAGAAGTATCCGCACTGAACGCTTGAAATAATTTTACCTGCGTCCACTGGTGAGATATCGAGAAATTCCACATCTACGTGCACCCAAGTAATATTCTCTATGTAAAACTGCTGTAAAATTGCATGTTGATCGAAATATATTATAATACCGACCGAAAAAGAAGGTGTTCTGCCGTAAGGAAACGAGTTAAAACATTTGGGGCGAACTGGTAAAGGATGGGGCGCACCCTTCATATTTCTGGGAGCGAACTAACATAGGTTGTAGGGGGCGACCTTACAATGGGGTAAAGTCTCCATAAAATGTTTTAAGTTGCCACAAACAATCAATCTTTTAACCCAAACAGTGTCAGCATCTAGTATCTCCTTATAGTATCACTCCCGATTAAAAAATAAAATTAAGATCACAAGCATAAAGGAAATTATCAACATCTTATCTTTGTCAGTTCTGCAGGAAATGAGTAGAGAATATTAAGGAAAAAATGCAATCTAAAAATAAGGGTGTGAAGACCGCCTCGACTATCCTAGGTATGGGTTAAAAATAACTGAAACCACAATGGTTTTTATTTGAGTTTATTCATTTAATTTGTCAGTCACTCCATTACTCTTACAATATCTCTGCGGTAGCTAATTTATATCATCAACGCAGTCGATAAAACCGAATTATCAATGTTTATCAATTCTTTGGTTAACTTATTACTTTCTGATTACTCAATTTATTACATTCATTTTGAAATCAGTGGTGATTTCCACAAATCCACGAAGAATTTCCACGGTTGAATACTTTTATTATTGATTACTCAATTCGTTACATCCATTTTGAAATCACTGGTAAAAACCACGGAATACTTTGCGATACAAAACCTTGCTGTGCCAAAACAACACACGTTGGAGTATTTTTGAAACATTAAACTGAGTCTAAACTGCGCGGAAGACTTTAGTCTCGGTATGAAAGATTTAGAAGGGTTATAATTGAAAACTGTGCTAGATAATAGTTCGATAACACTTGTATAACGTTTCTGTGTATACCTCACTTTCATCCTTGCACACCAATCGAAATTTAAACTTTCGATCCACGGCAAAGGGTTGTTATATTAATGATTTTCATACGCCTTGTACTAAATTAAAAATGAGCTGCGGTTTGAAAATCAAGTGAAGAACCGCCAAAGTAGTGTATACAGGAGGCATGAGTTCGAATGTCGAAGCCTGACGATTTTTCATGCTTCTTTTCTACAATTGCCAAAATTGTAGCTCAGCTGTTAGAGGCATTGCTCCACTTGGTTAATGATATTTTTTTCTAACGGAAACTTCCGAAGAGCGTACATGTTGGTTTTAGAATAAAAACAAGAAGGGAC